TGAAGGCGAGTGATTACGCCGAATTGTTCGTCAAGGACATTGTTAAGCTTCATGGGGTGCCCGTGGAGATTGTTTCGGATCGAGATGCCAAGTTCACATCCCAGTTTTGGAAGACATTGCACCGAGCCATGGGGACGAGGTTGGAGTTCAGTATAGCCTTTCACCCTGAGACAGATGGTCAGTCGGAGCGTGTGATCTAGTACTTGGAGGATATATTGAGGGCTGTGGTCTTGGACAGAAGCCTGACTTGGGAGTATGCCCTTCCGCTAGTCGAGCTGACCTACAACAACAGCTACCACTCTTCGATCAAGATGGTCCCGTACGAGGCTTTGTATGGACGTAAGGTCCGAACTCCTTTGTATTGGGATGAAGTTGGAGAGAGGAGGATCACGGGTCCAGATTTTGTCCAGAGTACTGTAGCGACCGTTGAGGAGATCCGGAAGACCATCAGGTCTGCCCAGGAGAGGCAGAAGGTCTATGCTGACCGGGAGAGGCAAGAGCATGTTTATGCTGTGGGAGATCATGTCTTCCTGAAGGTTTCACCCATGCGAGGTGTGATTCGCTTCGGAAAGAAAGGAAAGCTTAAACCTCGATATATTGTGCCGTTCGAGATCCTCGACCGAGTCGGAAACTTAGCATATCGGCTGGCTTTATCACCAGACTTGTCGGGTGTGCACGATGTGTTCCATGTCTCGATGCTTCGGAAGTATGTGCATGATCCTGATCATGTGGTGGACTTCGGCGAGCTGCAGGTCGAGCGAGACCTTACCTATGAGGAGGTGCCGGTAGCTATCCTGAACCGGAAGGTCCATCAGCTGAGGAAACGGGCAGTGAGCTTGGTGAAGGTGTTGTGGAGCCGACACGATGAGACTGAGTCGACTTGGGAGAGGGAGGACGATATTAGGAGGCGTTATCCGAACTTTGAGTTCTAAGTTCTCCTTTGTACCTTACCTATGAGGAGGTGCCGGTAGCTATCCTGGACCGGAAGGTCCATCAGCTGAGGAAACGGGCAGTGAGCTTGGTGAAGGTGTTGTGGAGCCGACACGATGAGACTGAGTCGACTTGGGAGAGGGAGGACGATATTAGGAGGCGTTATCCGAACTTTGAGTTCTAAGTTCTCCTTTGTATTTTATCGCTTTCTAGTTTTATTTTCGAATTCCGAGGACGGAATTCTTTGTAAGGTGGGTAGACTGTAATGCTCCGTTTGGTTATGAATAATTGAGATTATTTATTTTGCATAATTGTTATTGTTATTATTATTATTATTAAATATTTATCTGTGATTAAATTTCTAATTGTTTTAAATGCCTATTATTATTATATAAATATATATTGCGTGTATTATAAAGATAAATAATCCGGTTTTATTTATTTATTTCGGCCCCTTTTTATTAAATCGGATTGAGCAGAAATTCTTGGTTATCGCGTATGTTATTTTTGGTCCACTCGGATGATTAAATTCTAGCCCATTTGCTATGCCTTTATGTTGGCCTTCTTACTATTTTTTTTTTCAGCCCAAATGATATTAATATGTTTGCCCAACTTGAGAAATGCCTTTGGCCCAATGTCTAGTATTTTATTTGGCCCATACGTGATCTTTTTTCACGTGCGTATAACTAAAGAAAAAACTGATCTTTTCTCCGCTAGCGACCTGGTCATCGAGTTCAAAAATTGGTCGCGATCTTCATGGTAGCGCATCTCGCACGTTCTTCTCCAATCTTGCTCTTAGCTCCTTTAAATTTTGACCGAGGAGGATTAGCTCAGATATTTCAAAGCCTCTCTTCCATCTCTGTTCTCTCATCGAAAAAAAAAAAAATCAGGCTGCCATTGATTCCGGCATCCTCACTGCGAAGCCATCAACACCACGCGAGCAGACCATTCCACCGTGCACATCGAGCTTGGCGTGATCCTTTTGTTCCCGTGAAACTCTCAATCAACCGCAGCCATCCACCAGTAACGCCGGAAAAGCTTCCATCTCCATTGTTTCCGGCGAGCTCCTCCCATCCTCGACGGCGTCCTTTCAGTCGCGCAGCAGCAGGCCGTGAAGAGCTTCTGTACGTGGCCGTCGTTCGCGGTCAGCACCGAATTCAAGGAGTTCAAGTTTTCAAAGCCGTTCGTACGACCCGCTGTCGGGCCCGTTTCCCGTCGGAAAACTCGTAGTTTCCCGAAGTCGAGTAACTTATTCGAATCCTCTCGTTATTACGATCGATTTCATATATAACATGTTATATATATGTGTGTTCGGTCTACCGAAAGTTGAATTGAAGTCGGATTTCTTTTAGTTCATTTAATTGTTGTGTGTATATTTCGTTCGTACGTGGAATTTTTGGAAGTGATTGGAACTCTCGATTTTATAAACGTGAATATCGTTGTGTTGCTGTGATAAATGCGTATAAGTTCGGAGTCTCTTATTACTTACCCGAGCCGTCGTCTTGTTGTTTGTCGGTCGTGTAGCTTTCGAGTCGTTATATGTCGTTTCTTTTCTCGAGCAAAAACGAATTTATAAAATTTCCGAAAGCTGTAAAATTTTATTTTCGTAAAAACTTTTGGTGCTCGAATCTGTACGAAATTTACCGTCGAAATCATAGGAGGTCTGATTCTGCGAGCAGTCTGTGGCCATCTTTTTTTTAAGCAACTCTGTTCATTCTTTCCAGCCTCTGTTGCTTTTTGTTCTGTCCAAATAGCAGGTCTTGTTGTAGATTCATTTGTTAATATTTGCACTCTAAGTATCATATAGCGCACATGGTCCAGTGGTTTCGGCGCCCATTTTCCCCGCGAGAGGTCGCGAGATCGAACCCTGCCTTTGAAGCCATATTTCTTTTTGTCATGTATTTCCAGCCCAGTCCTTTGCAGCCCGCGCTCGGCCCGCCTAGCCCGCGCGCGGCCCCACCTCTTCCGCAACAGTCAAGGCCCGCGAGCCCATGACCTAGCCCATAGGCCCGCGCCCTTTAAGCGCTTGGCATGCCATGACTTGGGCCTGTCTCCCCTCAGCCGCGGCCCAGTTAGGCGCGCGTGGCCCAAAATGCTGGCAGCATGGGCCAGTGTTTGAGCAGTCAGCCCAGTTCGACTTTTTACGCTTATTTTATGTTTCGGAGTCCGTTTTTAGTACCGATTTCAATTTTAAAAATATTTTTAAAATGATATAAATTAGGGAAAATTATTTTAAGTCCCGAGGCTTCAAATTTAATTCTCCGAGTCCTATTTTTTAAAAATGAGAGAGTTCCATGTTCACGAAAAATCCGATTAAAACCCTTACGACTTAATTTTTATTAAGTATAGGTTTTATGTTAAATTTGAGTAGTAAGATAAATTATTGATAAATTATCTCGCTTAAATGTAGGTGTTTGAGGAGTCGAGCCTCATCCTACGTACTTGCTCTTGTGTGCAATTTTCTACCGAGCTATCCAGGTGGGTTTACTTATAAAATTGTCTATGCCATACGTGTTGTTTAATGTATTGTTGGTATGATCAATGTATGCATGTGAACCATGTAGCCTACTGATGTGAGCTGTTACGGCCGTCGGTATGGTTGTCCCCGTCGAGTTACGATACGGTTGCCCTTGCGAGGCAAGTCTCCTTAAGACCTAATGAAAGGCTGTGTCCGTTACAGTGGCACGCACTCCCGTCGTTAGGGTTTATGCATCCCCTTTCCGCGGCTAATGATAGATGTGCACATGAGTGAGTTATTGTTGTGATTGTTAGGAGATGAGACATGATGATGATTGATTTATATTCATGCTGCGACTATACCATCTTTACATGTTATTATGTGCATAGTAGTGAGCACTACTTTATCATTTGTGCTCATTCCCACCTGCTCTTCACGGATGCAGGTTAAGCAGTGGCCGGGTGACGGGACGAAGGACGAGTGGTGTTTTATTATTTGTTTCGTTTTGCTTCCGCTTTAATAATATGGTCTTTATGAACCCTCTATGTTTTGGACATGTGAAAACTGTTTTCGAACTATGTTTTGATGTTAGAAAATATTTTGGAAAACCATTTTGAACCTTGAATAATCATGGTGTTTGATTTATGAAGTTTCAGTTGTTCATGTGGGATATTATGTTGAGGTGTGAATCAGGTTAATGAAAACCTTGTGAAAAATCGGGTTTATGAATCCCCGTGAGTCCAGATAAGACTTGGACTAGGTAAATTGTGTTGGTTAATGCCCTTGATTTCGAAAATGAATTTGAAAAATTTGTACTGATTTTTGGAAAGTCCGGAATTTCTGAAAAATCAAAGTGGGGTGTTACAGCGATGGGTGCGCGATTGGGAATGACGCGGGCGCAAGCCTCAACCGAGAAAGCATAGGAGTGCGGGGCGATAGCGCGCACGCGCGAGAGAGAGTCCACGGCCAGCAGGCGCGCGCGAAAAAGGACGCGTGGAGTTCAGGCACACGAAACCTAAGGCGTGAAGGACTAGGCGAGCGAGCGACGCGTGCGAGG